AGCATCACTAAGAAGGTGGGGAATAAAATCAAAGATTAGATATTGCAGAAGGCATACAGTTTATGTAGTAGCTTTCAGTAGCCTTGTGCCTCAAATCTCCTGCAAAAATCATTTCTGAAGGAAAGTTACAGAGAGAAGGCTCCTCGTGCAGTTAATCTACTCCTACAGGTTTTATGACACCTCATTTCAGATGCTGTTTTGAAAGCTCAAGTGAGATGGAATTGCACAGCTTCAAATCTCAGTGGTGTTCTTGTATTATTAAAATGAAAAAAAATGGTTAAGATACAAATGCAGAACCTGGACTTTACAATCCATAATTTTGAGTCCACATCATCGCTTCTACTGTGACACACCATCCCACACTGAAATTTTTAGAGCCCTGAAATATTTCAGGCAGCAAGAAACAGGGATTCAGCACAGATATTGCAGTGCAGTCAACAGATGGACAAATTAAAACAAAAATGTGTATTGGCGGGATGTGTTAATGCTCTACCCTTGTGTTAAAAATATTACAGCTACAGAACTGCACCTCACTCAATGAAACTTTTTAAACGTATTTTTTATGGCTATAATGATTTAAGATGTATACTATCTATCATTATGTGACATGTCTGCACTGGGCAAGGAAGAACCTGTTATTGCTATTTTAGTTTGTTTCAAGATAGGCAGACTTCTAGTGTTTTTCTTTTCCTCCTCTTTTCTGTGGGACTCTCTCATTTACTGTATTAGTTGATAATTACATGATACTCCAGTGGGGAAGATTAGACCACTGGCAGGGTAATGATTGTGAAATCATAAGTCTCACTTATGGAAAGCATGCCTAAGAGGATATAAGACTCACTGTAATGCACACATTCTGTTCATAAGCCTGAATATCAACAGTTTTCATCTGTATTCAGTAGGTGAAAAGTTATTTTCCTATATACATGTGCCTCAGTTTGGACTTGCAATTGCAAGGTAGCACACCTGGAATTTCATGTACACAGACATGAAAAAAAAATTCAGAGGTTGCCCAGGAACATCTACTGTAGGCCTGTGCGAGTCAGCAGCGATCCAATCTGGCTTTGGATCCGGCCGCTTCGGATGGCCGCAATCTGATCTGGTGCTCCAGACTGGGTTTCTGCCTTGATCCGGCCAAAGCGGCTCCAAAGTTTGGGAGACTCCTCGGAGATCCGGCCATAGGGTATAAGGGGGAAATCAATTAAATATCTATAACTTTGTTGTTTTTTTGTCCCATTTGGATGAAACTTGCAGAGCTGGTAGCCTCTGCTGAGATCATAAAGTCTGACAAGTTTCAAGAAGATTGGTCCAAGGGTTTGGGGAGAACTGCACCCAAAATTCTTGAATGCCAAACCCATGTCACGGCTGTGTGTTACAACACAAGGGGGTCAAAACTGCAGGGGTGGTAGCTCTTACTGAGGTCACAAAGCCTGCCAAGTTTCAAGAAGATCAGTGCAGGGGTTTGGGAAGAACTGCACCTCAAGCTGCAGATGAGCAAAACTCGTGCCATGGGTGACCCTGTGTGTGTTAAGGCGCAGCAGGTTGACAGCTGCAGGGATGGTGGTCCCTGCTGTGGCCACGATGCCTGCCAGCTGTCGAGGAGATTGGTGCAGGGGGGTTCTGGGGCCCTGCACCCCTAGCTGCTGACAGACAAAACTCATGCCAAGACTGTTTCTGTCTTGGGGCAGTTGATTGTCAGTATTAATTCTTTCCTCTCCTTAGCCTGGTTTTGTAGGTGCTAATTGATGCTCATTAGGTCGTTATGTAGTAGCCAGGTCCTGTGTACTGAGCTGGTCCCTGAGTCCCTGGTCCCTGAGTAAATCATGATTGATTGATTGGTAACTGGTAACACAGTAGGTTAGCAGCCAGGCCTGCAGTAGTATCTCCCCTCCCCACCCCAAGACAGACACAGTCAGTCCCACAAGCACCCATGGCACGAGTTTTGCTTGTCCACAGCTTGAGGTGCAGTTCCCCCCAAGCCCCTACACCTATCTCCATGAAACTTGGCAGGTGTTGTGGCCTCAGTAAGAGCTACCACCCCTGCAGTTTTGACCCCCCTGCGTTGTAACACATGGACATGACAGGAGTTTTGCTTTCAAGAATTTGGGGTGTTGTTCCCCCCAAACCCCTGCACCAATCTTCTTGAAGCTTGGCAGACTTTATCCTCTCTGCAGAGTCTACCACTCCTGAAAATTTCATCCAAATTGGACAAAAAACAACAAAGTTATAGATATTTTATTGTTTCCCCATTATACCCTATGGCAGGATCTCCAAGGCAGCTCTGAAGCTCTTCAGAAGCTCCGAACCGCTTGGGGAAGCCTAACAAGGCCAGAGCTTCATCCCAGATGTGCTGCTTCGGACCCCGAAGCATCCAAAGCTTCTCCAGATCCGAAGCTTTGCACAGCACTATTCTACAGAAGATCTACATGTATGTCCGATTTTGACCACTTCCTGGTTCTGCCAGCCTGATATGTTCCTGAGTTATGTGGCAGTAGGGAGCCAAGTCATTCCTGACGTCCTTAGAGCCAAACATCAGAACATGACCCATGATTTCTTCTGACACCTACAGTGTGAGTGGGAGCATAAAGCATTCTATATTAAAGTACACTTCTGCTCTTATAAAATATATAACTATCTGGGATTTTTTTTTGCCTTTGTATACCAGCTCTTTGCATGTTCTCTTCCCCCAACATAAGAGTAGGGCTCAAAGAAATAGTTTTATGTATGTATTTACACCAGATTTCCTTAATTGTGACCTAGGGTATGGGCAGACAAATTGTTTACTACATAATAAAAGTGGCTTGGTGCATTGCTATTTGTCAACTTCTCTGAGGTAGCTGCCTGTGTGCAAACTCTTTCC